CTAAACTTCGGGAGCACTCAACTCTCTTGGCTTCCTGCAGATTCACGCATGATGTAGACATGGTAGAGCCAGAAGACATCAAAAAAAACAACTTGCCAAACTGCCGTTTCGGGTGATTGAAAACAAGCTTCACCGAACTGCCTACAGTATGCGCTGTCTGCCTGTCAAACCGTTGGCTGTCACATCGGGCATTCAATGATCAGACAAACTCTCTAAAGAATGCGACTCATCACCCCTCACATATGCACATGTACATCTCGCTGCAAAACGTGCACCCGTGCCAAGGCGTAACTTTGTCCCCAATTGCCGACAGCATTCACCACATAGCATCAACACCGAAGACCATGCGCTATGCACCGAAGCTCCGTGTCAAAAAATTAAACATCATGACTGAAGCATCAAGGTCGAGCGTTGATACAGTACTTGCCCTAGCCCCCCAGCCCTGCAAAAATATGGAAACCTAGGATAGCGCAGTACACTTTCGTTGCAGCAATGAACACTGCTTCGTTGCTTAAGATAGACTTACCCATTATAAGTTAGATCTTTGCTTGTGTTTCCTTCGGTTTCGTGAGTGGTTTCGCGTCATGTGATGTGAGCCTGGATAGATGATTCTGCTTGACCTGAGTAGTATTTGCCTGTGAAGTCGCCTCTAAAAGACATTGTCTTCAAAATTAAACAAACGTTTCACACACTAGTTCAGTCTGCAGGCAAACACAAATGCCACAAACCTGCTAAAGAAGCAAACACCGCTTTTCAGAAGAGTGCTAGAAACACCTACAAACATAACTCCTTGGGCCATTTGTTCTCAGAACTACAGTATATAACCTATTTCTCTCTAAAACAGTTCAGTTTCTTGACCTGTGTCTTGGCGAGCTACCGGGGCTCACCAAGCTCTTCCCTCTTCTCCGCGGCTGCTGGCATCAGCGACTTCGAGGCCGTCGTCTCAAGGATCTCTGTCCGGAAGAAAACCACCTTTGGCTCGGCTGGGTGGTGCTGTTTGTCACAGGTGCATAGAGGTGGTTTTGCAACAGCGGTATGCAGCTGACTTTGATCTTAAAGTTGCTTCTCAAGACTTTTCCCTAGCTTTGGTCTTCATATGTGACCAAACGAATGGCAAACTGAAGGTAGACAGTTCAGATCAGGCTTGCAAATATTGAGGCTGTTTGAACCCATAGCTGGACTATGGCTACTTCGTAACTGGAACGAGCTGCAGCAAGCGTGCTTAGTATCTTCCTCTAGAGAGACCCGCTTCTTCAAACACCCACTCCATAATAGCCGTGCAAGTGACATATTTGGCAAAGTTGGCACAAAAAGCTGGCAAAAAGCCTTGGTCTGCACTTCTGCCCTCACGAAACGAGAAAAACACGCTACCACTTCGCTGAATTTGACCTGATTTGAAAACTTAGCAACAGTTGCTGCCCACAATGAGGGCCAGGAAGGGGTCATCATGAGCAAATGCCGCGATCGTGATCAGTGTGACTGGGACCACGGAGGCGAGCACCTTTAACTTGCGATCGACCAAAGCCAAACCCGGACTTCAAAACTGAATTTGGGATGACTTTGTCTGATCAGCACCACCCACCCAAACACATTCATTTGAGGAAAACCTTGCTGAATTTTTGCCACGTTGCATGCGCTGTCCACATTTCAGGCGGCAAATGAAGGTATGTGAGCAGGCATTGCGTTGACATGCTCCCTGAGGATTCGCCAGGGCTCCACTGGAACTCCAGAAGGAAGCGCTGCCTGCAGCGGGTTCCATACAGCAGGCGTTCTAACAGTGGAGGGACTAAGAGCAAAAATGAGCGGCCTGAAAAGGTGTGCTGTTGGCTAAATGTGTGCTGTGCCAAATTTCCCAGCGTCCTTCATTGTTGGTTGTGTGGCGCAGCCATCATGCAAGCTGCAGCGTATCCACAGTTTACATTAGAAGATGTCAAGCAAATATCATTGTGATCTAAGGAACAGCAAACACGCCAAGCTGCAACAAATCTGAGACAACCTCACCGACATATTCCTTCACATCTTGTGCTGCTTTGGTGTTCAACGATGCCACAGCTGCAATATTTGCCACTGTCCCAAAGGCCAGAAGCTGATTCAGAAGTATACTGCTGATTTTGGCAGCCTGAGATGAACCAGGGCCCAATACTGCAAGATGGTGCAGTATCCGCGGGGCCCGAAAGCCTAAAGAAGCATATTAACAATATAGTCTTCAAAAGTCATTCAAAGCGAGTTTCTAGAATGAAAGGATGTTTAGACTCTTGCTCAGCCAGGCATCCCTTGGTTTGAAGTTCTCATCCACCGCTTGACGGCCACCGCGATAGGCAATCAAGAAAATACTTATGTCCCTCAAAATCGCATAGGCTAACCTCAGTTGATCAGCAGCTGTGTGAGTATATGGACTTGGAAATACTTGAAGGAACAGGGAATGTCTCAAATTCATCCTCTGGCCAACAGTTTATGCAGCATTCCCTTCTTCGCACATAGCCAAAGTAGCTCAAACCAGCTAAGTAGGTTTGGCTGGCTCGATGGCTGTAGCTAAACACCTGTAAACACCTGGATCATAGCCGATGCCTTCAGCCATTGTACCCCACTTTTAAAGCAAGTAGTGACTAGTGCCGGGAAAATTATTTTATCCAAATGATTTGATTCAATGTTGCTTGTATCTTCCTGCACTAGAAACCTCCAAATGATACTATTCATTGTAAATAGTATCCTCCTGCAGATTATTCAAGGTTGTTTCTTCTTTCCGAAAGCGGAGTGCAACCAATTGTGCAGCCTAGACCGAGTGACTGTACACAGGAAAGACAACGTTCAAGAAATATCACAATTTACAAAACATCCAAAGAGTTGTAGCTGCTGCGATTAGCTGCACATTTTGGATCTCCAAGGACTGAAAGAATGTACATTACATTCTACTTGCACAGTTCAACAGCCATGCCATCATGGCTGCAAATAGGGCAGAAGCAGCATGAAGCAGCTATGTTGAGCAAAGAAACTGAATAGTAGATAATAGTAGTATATAATTAAGACAAGCAGCTGTAAGGTCTGCCTGGTGACACTTGTAGCACACCTGGTGCAGGACAAAGCATCTGCATCTGCAGCTCCGTGCGTGGATCTATTGCATAGCAAGCAACCATCGTGAACATGTCCAGTTCTGCACATTGCCATACCATTCTCCAATCGTGGCACTTGACCACCGGGACACGCATGTGGATTCGGGCAATGATGTATGCGCAAACTGTTGTTGATGATGTTGTCCACCTCTGGACTCATATAGCCCTCTTTCAAGATAATCCGACCTGGCTCGCAGGTGGCAACTGCATCAGGGCAAAGAGCGCATGGTTGAGTGGTTCGCTCTATCAACTGCATGTGAGAAGGCATGCAAGGTAGGCAGCTCTTCTCTGAATCTGCTCTCTGACCACTGCCAAATTTATTCACCAGCCCTGTCCCACGGGCACACCATAGGTTGACTGTCACTCTGTTGCTTCCAGTGGCGACCCACAGGCAACGCCCTGTAGCATTTCCGCAATCCACAGATTCCTCCACAATGATGCCTTTTGTTGCCTTCGCTTTAAAGAGCGCCTTACTCTGGTGGTTCATGATCTGCATGTGGCGAATATCCAACTTTCCCGCGACGTACAGCAACGAACCTGAACCATAGACATCCCACATAAGGAGACTGTTGAGGAAGACATCTGCCTCAATATTCATCGCAGGTCTTTCTCTGGCGGAGCACTCTTGGAAATCAAGCGTTCCATCCTACGGCAAGCTACAGTAACAGGTACAGTGTGTTTTATGTTTCTGTTTTATGTTTGTTCCACGACATGGCTAATTCTGGGGAGCGTCTGCCTGTGGTGCAATTTCGGAGCCACAAAGTGCCTGTATCTTGAGCCAAGGAAGACTTTGACAAGAAAATGCCACCACCAAAGCCTTGAGAGGTACAGTGCTCGAAGCGTATTCTTCCTTCCAGTTGTCTCGCCAATGAAGCAGCACCATGCATGCCACCTCCATTCCGTGTGGCTGCGCAGCTGGCAAACCTTGTACGTACTGAACGAATAACTAAGCTAACAAGAAAACACAAAATAAAGAAAAACTCAAGCCCATAACAAGAGGGCGACATGAGAAAACAAAAGGTCGGGAAGCGCGGGCAGGCTGCTCCGAAACCAATCACAGTGTTGGTATGTGTTCAAAGCTTGTGAACACGCAAGTTTTCAACTTGTCTAAGTGCCAGGCTCTTTTTGCTACAAATAATGACGTTATGTTAGTCATGCAGCAGGTGAAGTGGAACGGTTTCAAGGTTTCAGCAATGGTAACACAATGTAAAACAGTAGTAGGTTCTCAAAGTCTGTGAAGTGCCTGTGCTAGTGAAGCAGTGCCCCCGCACTGCTAGTCAAAAGATACTTGGCGACTCGTCATTACGTGGAGGGATGTCACAGTCACTGCTGCTGAAGTGTCACGCTCCCTGTGGTAGGTCGTTCCCCGTGTTGCAGAGAGGGGTTCTTGCTACTGGTGCTGAAGTAATTTTCATCGATCATGAAACGGTACGCTGGCAAAATGGCACCTTCTCACCGGTGGTGAAGTTTGATGTGAAGTGGCAGGTTCTTGGGCAAATAGTTCTCTGCGAGAACCAAAAATAAAGGACAAAGTGGGGCATGTTCTCTTCCAGAAGCTAAGTGCTCGCCAGGCTCACCACTTCTGACATATCTCAAGTAGTAGCCGCTACTGCTTGTGATGTGATAAAATGTGTCCAAACGATATGCGCTTGATAGCACGCCTAAAAACTGAACATTGACACAACATGTCACACGGTTCTTGTGCTCAAAGAAATGGAACTTGAAACCACGCGACGCCTGAGGCAGATCCAGCAGGAGGCTATTGACGGACCAAATGGTAGCAGAAGCCAGAATAATTGCAATCATCCATCAATATGTAGAGGTGTGGGGACTGTGATTGAATCCAAACTTTTGCTTCACAAAACAACTCAAGGTATACCCTTTTGCAAGCTACGCAGCTGCTACCACCTTTCGCGACCAGCAAATTGAGCGGGCAATATCAACAAATACGTAGGACGTACTACAAACAAGGACCAACGACGAACAACAAACGACGCAACAAAAATACAAGATCAAAGAGTCGCCAACAGCGAAACGATCCAACACGACCCGGCCCTTGCAATCCAGAAACGTCATCAGTCCATAGGCTTGGACAATTTGACCAGATTTGAGGGAAACCCCTCCACCATCCTTGGCACGGCACCTCTCAAATTTAACTGTGCCATGGGAAGTAAGGTTTGAGCGTTTTAGTAGCATGCCACCTCCTCTAGTTTCTGCTGCACAGTCAGTGAATTCAAGCTTGCCATATACATGCAGGTCCCCTTCCTCCAGGAACAAGCCGCCACCGCCTTCTTCAGTCCAGTCCGTCGTTGTGGCAGGAAAAGACTTACATTTTGTAAACCTCATCAAACTCTCAAGTCCCACAAGCAGTCTTGCTCTTCCGTTGAAGCTGGAGCCGGTGATATGTATGCCACCACCTTCACTGGCATGGCATTCATCAAATTGTAGAATGCCGCCCTTCTGCTGGATGATGCTTCCTCCTTCTTGTACCAAAAGCCCACCTCCAAACCGGCAAGCTGTGCAACTAACGAAGGAAATCGTCCCAAACTGCTGATGAAACTCACCATCGACCAACACACCGCCACCTTCATTGGACTTGCACCTGCTCAGCTTCAGGACACCACGGAACTGGAAAACTTTGCCTCTGACATGCAGGCCACCACCCGAGGATGAGGCCTCACAATCATGGAATTGGAGGAACCCACCCTTCTGTTGGAAGTTGCCCCGATGGACTGAAAGTCCACCCCCAATACCGGCAGCGTAGCAGTTTGCAAAAGATATATTTCCGCCATTCTGATAGAATTCCCCGGCTTCGACCTGAACACCACCTCCGCCAGGAAGAGTGAAGTTATCGATGCCATGACCACGCCACGCATTTGAATAAGAGGTCTTTCCCATGGACTTGCATGTGTGAAACTCTACACTTCCGCTGAACTGGGATACCCTGCCGTGGAGATACATCCCACCACCTGATCTCTTCGCTGCGCAATCATGAAATTGTAGCAAGCCACCATTCTGTTTGACGCTTCCTTCCATAACCCCAAGCCCACCTCCATCACCAGTAGTGTAACAACTGGCAAAAGAGATGATTCCCCCATGCTGCTTCATTTCACCTGACTGCAGCCACACACCACCCCCGCCAAACGGATCTTTCGATTCCATGTGAATTTCATAGTGATCGCCTTTCCGACCAAAACGAGATTTGAAGCCCTCTGAGTCACAAAAGCTAACAAAAGAGCCTGATCGTGTGCCGTGCTCTGACGTCGGGCCACCAAAGCTAAACTGAGAGCTTGAATCTGC